TATTTTTTCCCTTTTTTTTTTTTTTATTGCGCAGGGGCCATGCTAATCTTCTCTGTATCGTTCCAATTTTAACGGATTATTTATTTTTTTATTTTTTGCGGGGTGCCGACGACCCCCGACCAGTAGGTGCCAACCACCTGACCGGTCGGTTGGTCGGCATCCGACCAGTCAAGGGGCACCGACCGTCCGGGTATGCAACACTGGCTGCGCACGAGAAAAGACATTCGCGCGGGGCCACGGGCGCAATTGTTTTTCTTTTCTGGGCCTGGCACCGCCAGGCATTTTGGTCCCGTCGGCTGAGCCCCTGTCAACTCAGACCACTGCATCAGAACAAAATTGCTTTTGTATAGATACTGCTTGTTCAAATAAATCTTTTGATTTGATGGCCACCATGAGTTGTATCTTTTGTTTAGGGGGGAGGGGTCCATTTCTTTTTTTTATTTTATCTCCCTTAAAATAAAATTAATGAACTGGACCATTTCTTGAATTCTGCATGTCATCCTTGAATGCGCAGGGGCCATGCTAATCTTGAAATTTGAAATTTTTCTGTGTTAAACTCCGGGCCGCCCGGCGGCCCAGCCTCCGTCCGGCAGGGGTCCCGGGCGGCCGGGCCGGTTGGGTCCCCCGGTTTGACGCCGGCCGGGCCCAGCGCACTTTTGCGCGAGGGGCGGGGAGGCCTTTTTCAATGTTTTTTCGCGCATGGGAGCCTCCCGCCCCCCCCGCGCAAGTTCTTCCGCCGACTGCACATTTGTTCCGGCAGCCTTCAAATTCGAACGTCGAGTTCGTGCTGCCCGTCGAAGTGGTCTTGTTGCTGCCCGCTGAAGAGTTTCCCGTTGCTGCCCACCTTCGCCGAGGTAGTTTCCCGTCGCTGCCCGCCTTCTTCGAGGTGCCCGTCGTCGATGCCCGTCGTCACTGCCCGCCGCCGCTGCCCGTTTCCCAGCTCGTCGTCACTGCCCGCCGCCGCTGCCCGTCGTCGCTGCCCGTTTCCCAGCTCGTCGTCACTGCCCGGCGTCGGCAAGCTGCCCCATCGTCGTCGATACTGTACAGTTGCGCGAAGTGCCACGTGTCAGGCTCTCTCTCTCTCTCTCTCTCTCTCTCTCTCTCTCTCTCTCTCTCTGTGTGTGTGTGTGTGTGTGTGTGTGTGTGTGTGTGTGTGTGTGTGTGT